ATTTTTTACGCTTATTTTTATCCTTTATTTATTATATTATTATAAACAAGTAATAAGCACAAAAAAACACATAATTCACATAATATTCAAGTAATTCATATTTATTACTTTAAAATTGGTTACAATGGTTGACCTAGACTATTACATCATCATTAATGCTTAGCCTAAAGACACGGACGTTACATTATAAAAAGGGGAAGAGATTAAAATATGGAAATTCGAAAGTTGAATTTTTCATATTACGCGGACTTGAAGACCAAAGTGACCTCGAGTATTTAAAGTTCATGAGATGATTCTATTGGATATTCGGAAGTGGTTTCGATTCATGATGGGTTTAGACTTATTGAAATTTTTTGGAGAGAGCTTTTATGCTCAAACTTTGGTAATTTTTTTGGAGATTAAGAAACTCCTAATTACCTTTTGATGCTCGGTTCCTATGGTCCCACGTTCTAGAACCCAAATTGAAGAATCATGGAAGAATTGAAGATTTGATGTTTATCTCTACATGTGTCACGTTTGAGGCTCGGTTCGTGAAGTTGCTCGAGTTTGGAAGATTTGAAGTGGGTCATCCATTCATAACTTTAAGGGGGAGAATGATGGTACAAAGTTATCAATGTATGACTTTGTAAATGGTTTGACTTTTGTAGACCCACTTGCATGTGGTAAACTAGCCTGGTGACACGAAAGAGAGAGAGAGAGAGAGAGAGAGAGAGAGATGTAAACACCTCTTTATAAGGTGGGTTCATACCACTTATAGAGGTGTGCCTGAGACGTGTAACATTGAGAGTGTTAATGTGTGTTAATTATGTAGATTTAGATCTAGATCCTTTTTTGTAACAACTTTCATAATCGAATACATCTCTTAAACACTGAAATCACCGTGTTCTTTGTGTGTTCTTTAATTTCGCATGCCAAATCAATGCTCATAATTCACATCAATGAACCTCCCTAGCACTAGAAGGAAGCGTCGGAGCACCCGACGAATCCGAAAAAAAAGGGCTTTTCGACTTGAGAAGCTTTGCACGCACAGAGACCGGTTTGTAATAAACCCGTTGTAAGTGAGTGCCTACCCTATTTTAGATATAGCTTTTATTTAAATATAGTAATATTATTATGAACTTATAATAAATATTTGAGCTATTATCATAAGTTATATAAATGTCGTTATAATATCTTTTTAACTCGTGATACGGGGAATTCGGTTTGAAGGGCCCCCTAGATTGTTGGATTTTAGAAGTGCATTAATGCCAAAATGGTCTTGCCCTCCGGTGTTTCATGTCTGGCCCCTGTGTATACATAGTAGTTGAGAAGTATTGTTTAATAATAATAGTAATAACTAGAAGGATTTCCCCCGCGTTGCAGGGGTCGGAAGGTGTCAATTTTTGTGAAACTATAGTACGTAGGCCGAATTGGTAGCCACAGTAAAGTATGTTGCTATTCTTTGCAACCGAATACCACAAGCTATATAAAGAATTGTAAGCATTAACGGAATTACTCAAGATGCAAGAGCACTTGTAAGTATAGTAATGTGTTTCAAGGGATTGGTGAAGTGCTATGTTGATGTTTTGGAGTATATGCAAGTACTTTGTTACTTTGAGACCTTTGTTGACAACAAAGCAGAATACAAAAGAAAATTTTACAAACATGAGTACAACTTCACTTATCATTCAAATCTCAACTAACTTCATTTTTTTCATCCCCAATAATCATTCACAACTCACAGATGACAATACCAAGTAACTAATCTTCAAGAATCTTAAAGCAAACAGGTTGGTTGAAAATTTGAATCAAATACATATTTAATCATTTGGTGATTCAATTTGCAATCAAAGATAAAATCTATTTTGTTTTGTGGCTCTGGGATCTGTTAAGTAACTCGTGCACGTGCCATAAAGAAGCATCCCATATAACTCCATGCGTTCATCTCGCCCAATACACATTTTGGTCCTACTTATGACCACTCTTCTTTGGGAGTCTCGGTTTTTTCAGTTCCCATTCAAATGTGAAAATAGATAATAAAGAAAAACATACTTTTTGTCAATAAGCAGGTTATCAAAATGGCTTAATGCAAGAAAAAGCAATGTACTTCATTTAATTTTTTATAGCTTCCTACTTTTATTTGTTCCCATTGCGACGTCATGCCTAGAAAAATATAACCAAATATAGAAAGGTCATCAAACTGTAATGAAATTTTCATTGATATGCTAAGAAAGAAAATTATAGGTAGAATATTATAATTGAGTAGACAATCTAAAGTACAATGCTATAACAAATTTTTTTTTTTTAAATGGAAGTAGAATGTTATGATTGTGTATATTAGTAAAAAAATGGAAAGTGTAATGACACAAAACATAGAAAATAAGGATGAAACATGAAGCAAACCTGATTGGTGTCAATCCCTTGAAACACATTACTATACTTACAAGTGTATGTAGGGGTAACATGGTGGAGAATTTTTGAAAATAATGTATATATGTGTCTATTTTCTATTTTTTTATCCACTCATCCAAACACTACACCCAAATCAAACCAAAATCACCATTTATGGTTCAAGATGCAGTTTAACCGAAGTGAATCATTTTTATACAAAATAAAATATTATCATCACATTTTTTAGTTTTTTTGAATCAAACAAAAAATGCATTTCGGTTAAACACTTATATATAAATCACTTCCTTTTTAGTTATTTCATATAATTTGTAGTGGTAAATGTATGAATTAGCAATATACATTTATTTCTGTTATAGATAATAAAAGTTGGAGGCTATAAAAAAATGAGAATTCAGGTCAGTTAAGGTGCTTAAAGTTGGGGGTAATTAGGTAATTGTACATTTGTCTAAATATTCATACCTGGGTCATGTCTTCTAATAAACCATTGCCAACTTTAAGGTCTGAAACGACGTGAATAAGTAATTAGCAGCCAACACTTAACACTAATTTAAAGAAACAATAATATTTGTTAATCTAAATTAAAATTATCGTCTCCTTACTTTTTTTGAAAATTATAAATGTGGTTATCAGACAGAACTCGTAACATTTTTTATCCCCGAAAGCAAATCTGGAAAAGGCTTTTGTTTTGTCCATGAAATTGATGACAAATAATGGTTTACAGTAACCACATGTAAAATAACCATTTCCAAATCAACATCTAATAACAAACAATTAATAAGATTATAAACAAAAAATTAATTATTTTCATTTAAACCTCAAAAAGTTATTTGAACCTAAAACTCGAAATGAATTTGAAGTCGTTGTTTGAGGGATTTTATAGAAATTTTGGTTCATACTTGAAGTATAATGAACATATTGCCCTTTTTAATAAATATTTACTATTTTTTATTTTTATTCTATAATATTATTGTATTTGTATAAGATAAAAGGAAATCATGTGTTGATGTTGTCACATCAAAAAGAAATTAAGCATTTGGAGGAAATCTAATATATTGATGCTTGCTTGGAAAATACATCATTAACCAATAAAGCTGATTAAGAAACAAAGGAATACTAATACACTAAAAAACTGGTTTTATATAAATGACTATCTTACCCTTACCAGATGTGAAATACAAACTGGAATATTTATCTTTCCAGCAGTTTCCATGTTATCTAATACAAAACCCATGACTTCCTTAATCTGAAGTCTTTATAATGTCAAGGACTTGGGGCATGAAGCATATCATCATATTCATCTCTTGGTGCATCAGATATTTTTTCTTTCTTAGTGAGTTTCATGTTCAACTTTTTTAGCTTCACATACCTTGAAGAACCATATATCGAATGTTTTATAAGATGAAGACCTGAAAAGAAAACTCCATAAAAAGTTGAAACAAATTATCTATTTTATAATTTCAATTCATATACAAATATAGGCACTATGCTTCGGTTTTAACCCATAATAGCAATGTACCTTTGATTAAAAAGCAGCAACCATTTATCAACATTCAAAAGTTGTCCGGAACCTGTGCACAAGGAAAACAAATATTGGTATTTATAATGCATTAAAGATCTCACATTTTTATATTGAAAAGCAATAAACGTTTAAAAAGCTTAAATGTGAACTGGTGCAAATCTAAAAGTGATATAAAACTACTAACTGTTTGATAAAAAAACTAAAAGTGATAAAAAGCTCACATTTATTTAATATAGTACCAAAACATCAATAAAATATATGCAAATGACCATATACTTATCTCCATCCCCAACCTACAAAAAAAAAATTAGCTTAATTAACCCTTTTTGTATAAAATAAAATAACCCCACTCTAATAAATAAATGAAAAACAAATTTATAAAAAGTTATTATTGAACAAATTAAATTGGTTGCCTGATATCATGTGGGTATGGTTGCCAGTTCACCACCTATTAACAATGAGAACATTAAGAGTTGTAGTGAGGCTTCTTGTAATTCTGAGTGACATGTGTTCACCACCTTTTGATTTAGTTTTACACTTGTGAAACTTCAAATTGCAACCAAATACTGTAGAATAAAATGGAAAACTGAAACATAATTAGAGCTTTTTTGTTTGTCTTCTATCAATTTCATGTCTCTTTTCTTCCGATTAGCCAAAGAAGGAAAACCAAACATATTAACTGTAAATGTTTACCTGAAGCCATGTTGCCTTCGTTTTCCTTTTTCTTTTGCTCGATAGATGAGCCTGCAAATATAAACCAAAGGCCTTTGGAAAATTATTAATCATGTCAGTAGCTTCATCTTCATCTGTAACAGCAAATATAAACCAAATGACGAAAAGGAATAAAAGAAATCAATGCAATAGGTAGATGGAGAACAAAATGAACAATCACCTGGAAAAAATTGTCGATTGAGCATGTACAGATTTCACTTCTTACATATACATCAAAGCTTAAGGTATTCTTTGGTTGATACATGATTTCTACAATTGGAGGTGTGCAAAGCAAAATCGACCAGTATCGTAACTGGATTTGCAAGGAGATGCAGAATCGACAGGTTGCTCATACCGTAGAACTTGAAGTCAACGATTCTTAGAAGAAAAAGGCATGTGACGGTGGTGGTGGTGTTGTTGCTGTGTCGAGCGAGCACCATCCAAGAAACACTATCCCTTGACCCAAATTCACCACCGAACTCGTCTGTGGTGATCGGATTGTTCCCTGCCCTTTCCCACTCGACAAAATCGCCGGGAACAAAGCAACGGGGGCCGTTGGAGCAACTCTTGCCGCCACCGTGACCAGCCCCTCATCGAAATTCGTCAACCTCCGGCCTCTGTCTTTCCCTCTCGTCGGACTCATCGGAATAGGAAAGTGGAAGCAGCGGAGCTGCCATCGCCACTGACAGTCGCCGCTGCCTGGAGTCCCGGTCACACCCACCTTCACCGAGCTGCTACCGCCTAGTCACCGCAACCATGAACTGCTACGGTGAATTCCGACCCCCACCCTTATACTTTCATTCCTCGGTACTAATCAGGTAGACATGGGAGATAAATTGGTCTTGTAATTTTCTCCCGTTCACGATTTGTAAACGAATTGGGGGAAACGATGGCCCTATATAAACCAAAACAGATAAAATGGAAGCGAAACCCGGTCGGTTGTACCAGGCGATGAGAAATCGTCGTTCAATTTTGGAAGCAATCCTGGAAGGGGTTTGTTGATCGATAAGGTTTGTTGATACTGTCGCAAAAAGGGGAAGACGAAAGAGGAATAAAGGTATCCAAGCATTTGAGGCGGTGCTTCTACCAGAGATGTCAGTAACATCAATCCAAACTATATAATGACATAAATTGACCATCTACAAAAATAAATAACAAATGAGAAAGCTTGCAAAGACACTCATATATAAGGGACTACTATTGTCAAATCCTTAGCCAACTTTACTGTAGTTAAGGATTGACAATTTTAATATAATAATAATAATAATAATAATAAGATTATTAATTAATCTCAGTGAATATTAGCCTAAACTCTAGTTGTAATAATACTAGGTTTCGTCAAGGAAATTGTGTTTAAGAAGCAAAGCGTTGTTCAAGTTCAGAATCACCACCTTAACAAGTGAGTGCATCTTTACTTTCATCTTACACATAGATATGAAATATTTTATATAAATTACGTGCTTTAATGTGCTTATTATCTGTATACTTGCTATTTATGTTGGATGAACGATTTTATATATATTTTAAATGATTTAAATTGTATATGTATTTTATATCTACAAAATATGTTAGGTAAAAGATGAGTAGATTAGAGATGAGATAAATGATAGAGCGATAAAAAATGAAATGAATGATGAACGATGATATATGAGTGGTAAAAAATAGTGAAAAGTGATGAGCCAAACGATGAACCAAGCGATGACCCAAGGGTTATATATATATATATATATATATATATATATATATATATATATATATATATATATATAAAAGACCGGTCCGTTGATTTTAAAGGCTCTATGCAAAAAGTGAAAATGAAACCTCGAACACAATTTTTTTATTTATAATAAATGTGAAAAAGAAAAACTAAAAACTAAATTAATTTAGGTAAAAATGGAAGTATACATATTTATAAAATTTGAGGTGTGAACTATGTAAATTTTGAAAACTAACTTAGTAAAAGAATTTAACTTCTAAATATAAAGGGCTAAAGTGTAACTTTAAAAATGAATTTCTTGAAAGATAATATAAGGTAATGGAATCAACTCATAGTATATGAGAAAGAGACAGAGCTCCTTGCCAAGTGAACTATAAATGGTTTTTAAATAGCTTGCACCAAAATATTTTTTATTTCTAAATGCAAAAAGAAAAAGAAAAAATAAAGTAGTTTGAGGGTGGAACTAGTCCTGGTCCTAAGATGGCTCCACCCTTGTGAATTGTGTGTTTGTGTGTGTTTGCATGTGACTGGATCTATTGTATATGTTTATGGTTGTGTATCTGCGTCCATGAAAGTAATTTGTTCTTTTTGTTTTTTTCTCACAGATTGTATCGCTTTTTTCTAATTAATTTGTATGAAAAATATTGTTTAAACTCTCACCGTAACATAGGAGCGTAAAACTCTTGTTTATATTATTTACTTGTATCTAGCAACTATATAAAATAAGATAAGAGACCATTTTGCTTCGTCAAACGATAGATGCACTTTTAGAAAGTGAACACTTTGTTTTCATAAAGCGATGCATGACTTCAGTTTTACACCCTAATCATTTCCGCAAGCCTATCCTATTTTCATTAATTTCCAAATGGCATTGATAAAAATGAGTCCACATCATAATTTACTTGACTTGCAAGTCACTGGTTAACATAATTCAAAAAGAAATTAAAAAAAAAAACAATACTGAGAAGTTAATAAATATATTTGATATTATAATCGTAGTATCATGGAAGATTTTATTCGTCACACACTCTACGGGTATTTGTGCAAAATTGCATGCACAAAGCTTTAGTAAAAAAGCAATCCTTTTGGTCATCACAACAACAGTACTTCGATCCAGGATTTTCAACATATGCCTTGCAAATAACCCATCCTATTTTTTCATCTTGTATATTTGAAATGCCAACTTCGTTTCCCTCTTTGCTTGCTGCATTCATGTTAACAAGATATGATTATATGTATAATCACTTTTGTCTTTCTATATGTTATATATATCATGAGAGGGATAAAGAGGATAAATTCAACTAAAATTAGGAATTATGAGTAGGTATACATTTGTCTATCCATGTATGTATGTAGATGTATAAGGTTGAAAAGATAAAGAAGAGAAAACTTACCCTCATGACCAACAAGCATTAATGTTAGAAAAGTTAAGCACAAGATAATTTCAAGCTTGACCATGGTGGCGAGTGTGTTCTTAGAGATTTCTAAGGTTTTTTTCTTGAAAGGAATATGAAGTTTAAACTTTAAACAAACGCCATTTATATTTATACACACATTTATACACAAGATTTAGTGAATTAATTAATAATATCACAATCACAATTATGGTGGGTTAAGAAAATCCTATAATTTCCTTTTGTATCCAAAAATTAGTGAGCGTTTAATATATTAAAGGTTTTGGTAATCACATTATATTTAATTTTGGTCTATTAGTTGTATATCCTTTTGTTTTTTATAACCCATGTAAATTTCCCCTATTGATAATAGTTGATAAGATTATTAAAATAAAAATAAATCATATTCATATTTACTTACATAGACCATGATATAATTAGTGTTATTAGCCAAACTCATCAAGCCGCTTGAAATGTAAGTTATAATATCTTTACCTGACATTTTTCTAAAAATTATATTGAATTTATGTTTGACCTGCCAAATTCAGTTTATTAGTTTAACCTTTGAAATTATTATATAAAATAGGAAACTCTTTAGAAAAATCCTAAAATTTTAGTCTAATTTATGAAAAAGTCACAAACTAAATTTTATTTACAGAAAAGCATAGAATACCGATTAAAACCTCAAAAAAAAACCCTTTCGGCCGGTTTCGCAGATTTTGCCGGTATTCTGTCCTTTTTCGTTAGTTTGCTCAAAATTTTGGGACTTTTCCAAAAATTACGTATAACCAAAATATTGTGACTTTTTTGAAAATTACGAAGAAATTAATGACTATTATTATTAAAAAAATCATTTATAAACATAAAAAATATTTTTATTATAAAAAAATACATTTGTTGCTAATTTTAGGAATAAATTGGTGGTCTAAGTATTATATTGCTTCCTGACCACTCAAACTTTCTATATTCTTCCTATGCATTGTTGTGCGTATGATGGTAAGATGAACCTAATTAGCATTCCTCTAATGTTGGTGTCCCTCTTATGTTGTTTAACCTAACTACCAACCAAAATTCATATCTTACATGTTAACAAATATCGGCTAACACACATCTATAAAATGTGAAAAGTGAACCGTGAATGATAATTTATATGGAAACAAGTGAAGGGTTATTATCTATTTAAATTTTCATTCAAAGTCTACTTTTCATTCTCGATAGATTTTTGTAATTTTATGGTTGTTATCGGGTAGTGTTTGGAGGCTAGGTGATCATTAGGTTAAAGAACATAATGAAAGATCTATATGTTCGTGTAATGATATTTTCTGATAACACGTGATCATATAGCATCATGCCTGATAGCAAGTAGACACTTATTGATTGTGTATTGATAAATATTATCAACTCTTGTATTCTTCACGCCTAACAGAGTACTTCTCCTATGACACCCACAATGATACATAGGAAGAACATAAAGACTTTGAAGTGGTCATCAAATAATAGAGAAGTATATAGTCAACCATTATATTCCTAGAAATTAGCAACAAATGTATTTCCTTAGTTTATAATAAAAAAAATTATGTTTATAAATGATTTGTTAATAATAATATCCACTAATTCCATAGCAATTTTCAAAAAAGTCCAAATATTTTGGTTATCGGGTAATTTTCAGAAAAATCCTAATATTTTGAGCAAAACTAACGAAAAAGAACAGAATAGCGGCTAATTCTATGAAACCGGCGAAAAATGGTTTTTTCGAAGTTTTAGCCGGTATTCTGTGTTTTTCTGTAAACAAAAAATAGTTCGGGATTTTATCATAAATTAGATTAAAATTTTAGCACTTTTCTGGAGATTCCTATATAAAATATTCTAAGTTTCTAAGAAGAAAATATTATCATATGATACAAATATTAGCCAGTCACCAAATCACATTTAAGTGCCTAGAAATTATTCATCTTTTGATATTATTAATAATCCATATCTAGTAATTTTATAATTATTTGATATAATATGGTTATAAAATAATCCATTTCTAGTAATTTTATAATTATTTGACATAATATGGTTATAGAATAAATAAATAAGGAGAAAATATCATCATGACACATATATTAAAAATCCACATCTAGTTTACAAAATAGCATGCCATATCATGGTAATATAATAAAGAAAATAAGTAAATTACATAAATGGTTATCCTTTTCGGGTGAATCAAGCGGTTCATTTCAATTTTTTCTTTTTATTTTGTGTTATGGGGAAAATGATATATTAGTCCAACAATGTATTTTGAATTTATCTATCAACCTCTTAACTTATTTTTGTGCTTTTTGAAGGAATAAAGTAAACAGTGACAGGTTTATTTAATCTCTCTAACCTGAAATAGTCTATACTATGACACATAGTCAGTTGAAGAATATGTGGCTGCCTAATCAACACGGTGTGGATGACACGTGGATTTCCACAGAAACAATCAAATAAACAACTCTCTTTATCTCTCTCTCTCTCTCTCTCACACACACACACACAAGAGTCCACAGTCCACAGTTCTGGAATTTCCCAGCCACAAACTCAAACACAACCTCAAAACCACAACCATCTTTATTCAAATAAACCCTTTTTTTTTTTATCAAATTCAACATTTTGTCGACTTCTTCATGCGATTTTGTTCAGATGAGTTTTGTTAAAATTTTCGACTTATGGTGGTTTATGTTCTTCATTATCCCCTATCTTTCTACTTGAACTCCATAAACCATTTTGAGTTTTCGGTTTCAATCGCTTGTTTTCAATTTGGTTGTATCGGGTTTCTAATTTCAACATCTCTTTGCACTGTTTTTGCAAGTTTTCTTAATTTGATTTCGAAAACCCATTTGATTTGTCGGTTACAATCATTTGTTTTGATCTGTTTATTTTATTGTTGAAATCCCCTGATCTTTATGTCTTAAATTCAAAACACTTTTGATTTAACAGCTTCAATCACTTTTTTTTCCTTTTGGGTTT